GGGCCGCCCCCTCCCCCCTCGGCCCGCTTTGTGAATTCCCCGCCCTGGTGGCCCCCCGGCGAGGCTCCCGGCACAATGCTGGCTTGCTCTCCGCTGTCAGGTCCGTGCGCGGTTGAGTTTGCACGGCGTGCCAAGTGAGAAGCTTGGTTGGGCTACCCTCGCCTCGCCTCGCCTCCCCTCGCCTCGCCTCCCCTGCCGCTTACGGTCTTCCCGGTGGGACTCAAGCCGCTGCCCGCCTCGGGCATTGTCGGTCGGGTGCTGTGGCTTCCAGTGCGCCCATGGCCATCCGCTGTGTGTGCGTTGCGCCAAATAAAGGCGCAGAAAGCGAGAACTGTAAACAGCATAATAATATAACATGGATTTTTCAAGAATAACAGCAATTCCAATAAAAAGTGCTAGATTGCTTGTTACCCCTTTGTTGGGATCCCCCCAAACCCTAATTCGAACTTTGATACACCTCTTGGTACCTGTGGCTGCAAGTGGTAGAGAAAGAAAGCACTTGAAGACCACTTGGAAGCTTCAGCTGGCCCAGAATGCCGTGGTGCAGGGAGTGATGGGCATGCCTCGGTATGCCCACGTAACACCTCTGCCTTTGCGAGTGCTCTGGTTGCCAGTTTGCTTCTGGGTGGGATGCAAGGTGCTGGTTGTCACCTATAAAGCCCTACATGGCATAGGGCCTGGGCACTTGAGGGACCGCCTCCGTCCCATAACCTCTGCCCGGCCGATTCAATCCCGCAGGGTTGGCGCACTCTGGGTTCCGTCAATTAAACAAGGCCACCTATCAGGAGCCCAGAACTGTGTCTTCTCTGTAGTGGCCCCTGCCCTCTGGAATGAGGTTCCCTCCAGGATCCAAATGGCCCCCACCCTGCTGGTGTTTCGAAGGGCCCTCAGAACCTGGCTCTTTGCCCAGGCCTTTGGTGGGGATGATGGAGCCTCCTGTTAGCTTCGGTTGTTCTCTTTTCTTTCCACCCAGTTTGTTATTTATGTATTTATTAATTCCCATTTATCCTGCCTCCTCTACCCTTTTTTTGGCTTCTTGTTGTTTTGTTTCATGTTTTAAATCATTTGTAAACTGCCCAGAGTCTCTAGGAGTTGGACAGCATATAAATTTAATAAATAATAATTAGTAATAATACCCCTGTGCTGGCGCTGTTTGCACAATGCTCTGCAGTTACACTATGACACGCTGTTTTACCCTGGTTCTCAAACTTTCCATGTCATCAAAAGCTGGAATGTCACCATGTTAGTTTAGGGGTGGAAGCCTTGGATATAGAAGTTTAGCCATTTCAGGGTTGGTAAACCCAAGAGCTGGTCACAGGGGCCATGGGGTCAGACGTGGGCAAGAATACTGCCCCGGTGTGCTCCTTAACTGCCCTCTTGGCTGGCTGGCTTTCTCAGTTGTGTGCCACCAGAGTTAATGTAATAAGTTCAGCTTGCTGTTTGAAAAGTCACTGCCTTGACCTTGTTGGGGGGAAGACACACTGCCTGAGTTGATGCTTCTCCTCTTTTACCTGCGGAAACAGTGAGAGTTGGCGACTGTTAACATTCAGCAGCACAAGCTCAAACATTGGACATGTCCGCGCAAGCCGCCACTCACAGGGATTTGTGAGATCTATCATGTTGGCTTGAAGTCAGGAAATGTGAAATCTTCCCGGCTTTCCATAGCTTTCCACACTGCTTAGCTTAGGTGCACGTTCGTTCTGGTGTAGTTGGGATGCTGATCCCGAGGCTTTTGTGGTTAGATATCCAGCGTGAAGCAATTGTTCCTCCCCTCCCAGCCCGCTTGGGCTTCCCAGTGATCTTCTCCCTTTGAGGTTGGATCTTTTTGGCTGCTTTCTGTCTGAAGAATTTGGGATCTTCCTTCTTGAAACCTCTGTCCAAACCTTCTGCTTTCCTGACATTTTTGGCTTGGATTCTTGCCTCTCCCCAGCTGAGAGGCAGCTGAACATGGATAAACACGTGCCTGGGAACACTGCTATTTCTCCTCTTTCTCTCCCCACCTCCCCACCATGGTGTGCTCTCTAAGTCATTGGCCAATCTTTTTGCTTTTTTTCCCTAGAAAGTCTAGTTTTTATGTTATTCTGTAAATGTTGATTGCATTGAGGGGAGAATTTTATTTGGTTTGCTATTTCTTCCTGGATACACTCTGGCCTAAATTTATAGAGTGGCAAGAGAGACTGTGTAGTGGGTGGCCACTGTAGAAAGAAAGCTCTGTTTATGGTGGCAAAAAATCAGAAGGAGTCTAGTAGCACCTTTTCCGCCCATTATTAAAAGCCATAAGCTTTTACCAGACTCCTTCCATAGCTGATAGACTGGGATTTTTCACGTTTTGTCATTTGTAAAGTGTGAAATTTTCTGTTTTGTAAAGCTGATCTATTTTTGTCTCTTCAGTCCAAAATGTAGTGTAAAGAATCTCCTTGGTTTGTATATAAGCTGTTTGAATTTCAGAGAAATCGTATGAAAGTTGATTTCCTATCTGGCTAGAATGCTATACTGTGCTGGAGGCAGAAGAATTGTCTGAATGATCAGGCCCATTGTCCCCAGTCATCGGTATTCTGCTGGGATGTGCCCTTTTTTAGCTGGAATCACACAACACGCTTAATTAAAGTCACCCTCGGATGCAGACACACATCAGGTGGGT